GTTTGCCCCCATCTTTTTCATAAGCCCCCTTTAAGTACTGACAGGCTGCAATAAGTTCGTAAATAAATGAAAATGGAAAAAGAACTAGATACATTTTTATTTTTGTTTAAGAATGAAATAATTGTCTCATCTAGCAATGATATCATTAGAAAAGTTGTTCTATTCCATTTCCAGAACCTGAATTAAGGATCTTCAGCCAAAACCCATGCAATGTAATAACTAAGTTTTAGTCTAAAATTCATTAGTTTTCCACGGAGATGCTTTTTCTTTTTTTTTGCCAGATTTTGAAACAGTAGAAAATTTAAAATAGGGCTACAATGCAGACTGGTTTTCTTTTCTAGCTTTACCAAAAATAACTGCAAACAGCTTAATGATATACCTAATGAAAACAGGTTTCTCCTTTTTGGAGAGGATGTAGGGTCAGGCACTGAAGGATAATAATCTACTCTGTCCAAGAGTATTTGTGACTCATTGTTTTGATGATGGTCTTTGTGATAACATATAAACAGTAAGGGCAAAAAGGGAGTATGAAAAATTTCAACCATTAGACAGCACTAGAGGGTGTAAAGGTTAGTTTCTTCAGAAGTGACTGTAAGTCATCATAAGGGGCAATATTACCCAGGGAAGTGGTTTAAGTATACCTGTTAATACAACCAACTACCAAATGTTACATGCCATGTGATCAGACCATGTTCCCAGCCATCCAGTACTCCAGCATTAGGAGAATCCAATATTCATGTTACTTCAATTGCACATATATATCCTATATGTGCATAAGTTCTTTTTTCTTTCACGTTTCTTCGGAGGGCCATGTGAGATGCTTATGCCTTTGTGAAGATACCTGAGCAGCCTGCTGTATATAGAGAACAGATTTTAATTTTTTTTTTTTTTTAAGCAAAACTGGTGATTTTCACCTCTCTGTTTCATGCTGACATCCTGCACTGTGTGTCCTTTAATAAGGGTCCTGTATGTTTGTAGTCACCGTTTATTACACTCAAATTTCAGGCCTAGTCACTTAAGTAGTGGGAGTTATCCTGCTGTTCCAAAGATTTTTTTTTTCCCTGTTGATTTATTGAATTAATGGAAAAGTGAAAAAAAGTCCAAATAGATTAGAAACTGTCTGCCAAAAGGTGAAACATGAACGCATGACAATGCTTGTCATGGATGCAAGATGCTGTGATACCAAATTTGGGGTAACTGGGATACTTAGAAGTTAAATGTGGTAAGACCCGGTGAAATAAAATGCCTGCACGTTTCAGCTGTGAATGGACATTACAAGTTCCAAACCCAGGAAGAGTCTGCCACTGCCTTCAGTAGCATTTGAAGTAGGTTGGGTGTGGGGTGGAATTGTAAGGTCACAACAAAGTGCCTAGTTTCTAAGCCTCCCTTTATGTTTATTCACATAAGCATTGGTACCTATTTTATAAACAATGATGTACGTTTATTAGTGTCAAATGGGGGGGGGGGGAAGGAAAAAAGCAGCAAACCTCTCTGATGCATGAACTCAAACAATGGATGGAAAATGGGGGGGGGGGGGAAGGAAAAAAGCAGCAAACCTCTCTGATGCATGAACTCAAACAATGGATCTGGAATAAACTCTTGACTGTAGATCCTAGACAGAAAGCATTAAGGTAAACAGAAGTTGTTCAGATTGAGCAATGCTTTTTGCTACAATGTTAAGAAAATCTTGAGCATTTCAAGAAAGAAGGTGATTCACCTACCTTCTATTTAATAAATGAAGCCTGCAAATATTTTCCACATTAATTGAATTGCAGTTTACACAGAATTGCAGTTTACACAAATCTACTCTGTGTATTACAGTGAACTTAAAGTTTAAAGACTTTTTTTTTGTTCTTGCTCAATAATTCTGAGTATGATTACTTGTCTTGCTAAATATTGAATCAAAACTCATAACTTTTTAGTTGCAATGAATCCTAGCAGTTATACCTATGTTACCAAAGAATGTGACAACAGATATATTCACTAGTTTGCACTCTTGCAGGCATGATATAGTAACACTTTCTGGGATCTTTACAAACTCCTTTGGGAATGCTATCTGCATGTTTCATTTAGACAGCTGACGTGTTTTCCTGTCTTTGCACATTGTTAGCAACTGCAGCATTATTTCTGCAATTTGATGGAGTATGTGGCTTAAGCATGACATAGTGGCCTTGCCAGATAAACAGTTGAACGTTCCTCTTGAGCCTTCAGTTAGCAGTTCCAGCTTTCCCCTTTTTTTTTTTTTTTCATAAAAAGGGAATTTTTTCATTTTTTTTTTTTTCATTTCCCCTTTTTTTTTTTTTTTCAGATAAAAGGCAAATTTTCAGGTTTTTTTTTTTCAGATAAAAGGCAAATGGATCAGAAGTGATAAATACGATGCTGGTTTAGTGGAATGTGAAATACTGCCATGGAAGAGATGCCCTGTTCTTTCCTCTGATGAGGTCAGAAAACATGTTCTCTCAAATACTTTTTTTTTTCTGTATTCTGTGCATCTTATTTAATGTTTTGGTTGGTATAGGCAGAAATGTTTGCTAATTGCTCATTTTTTTATGTTTGTACAATTAAAGCTATATAGTAAAGCAGTTTACTATTTCATGCATATCCAGCTTTATAGGCACAAAAGAGAGTGATAAGCTTTTAGTGTTAATGCTTTATTTTATTTTGGGGAAACAAGAAATATTATTTAGGAAACTCTCCATGAGAGATTGCAGAGTGCATTTCTTCTGTAATATTCTGCATTAATCCAAAATGGTGGTTGCCTTTTAAAAAATTGAAAAGGTCAGTGCAGAGAAAATATTCTAAAATTATCTAAGTGCGTACACCACTATGTTCCTATGTGTTTATTTGAAATTCTCTCCTGCAGAGGTTATTTATGTAGAATAACATTTAATAAAGCCAGAGAAATTCTGAATGTTTGTGTTCACCTGATCAAAATGGACACATAAATCTGAAGACACAATTTTACTCTGGTCTGCACTGGAGGGTGATACAGCCTTACTAAGCCATATTGTTTCTAGGTTATATGGTTCACTTCCTGCAGCAGGGATGCAACACTTTGTAAAAAGCAAATTATTTGCTGCACTTTGAGTACTCACGGTGAAGAGTGCAATATGCAATTGGAGAAGGTAGAGTGGAATTTTACCACTGCTGTGGAGTGTGGGAGGGTGGCTCAGCCAGCACAGACTGACTTCTTCAGGGGTGTTGCCAATGCTCACAAAGGATGTCCCTGTGACGCACTGCCATTGTGGTCTGTCTTTTCACGGCCTGTCCCACCGTAAATTTTGCAGGTGATCAAAGCAATAAGAATAGCTGTAATGTTTTAGGTGTCTCATACAATTCTGTTAAAATTGTTCTAATTTCAGGTAGCGCCTACCAATTTGAAAAAATGCCAGATGTTGGTTAAGCTATAGGGTTCACCATGACATTTGATGAGCTGTTTCAGTGTTTAATTATTTTCACTGTTAGATTTTGAGCCCTGTTTCTAGTCTGATGTTCTAATTTCTACTCCCAGCCCTTTGTTAACAAATTTCTCTTCATGTAGATTCATACAGGCTGTGATCTTGTCATTCCTTAAGTTCCTCTTTATTGAATGAAATTGATTAAGCTGCTTTTAAGATAAATTTTCCAATCCTTTATTTGCATTACAGTTGTTTTTCTGATTCTTCTGTAGCTGATTCTTCTTGATTTGTAGACATTGATACTGAATTATTGCAGCTTATCTAAACATGGAAGTAAATAAATCTTTCTATCCCTAAATAATATTCCCTATTTAACAAGAAAAGATCACATTAGCTCATGATTACCGCATTATTTGCCTTCTCTGAATTGAGTCCTCAACCCATCTTTTGTTTCTAGGTGTACGATCTTGCTTTCGATTGCTTGGCACTCCAAGTAACCCACCGCTCTTTGCATTTATGACTTCCCTCTTCTTGTTCCTCACTGTGTATCATTTGCAGACTTTAACATTGCAATGGGCATGTTGTCTCCCAGATCATTAATTATTTTACAGGGAAAACATCTGACTCTATTCCTTTCCTTTTCTCAATCTAAAGCCCCATGCTACACTTTATTACTAAATTGTGTAACCCTCTACCCATGGTGCGTGTCCTTTCCCCAAATCTATCTGTGCTTCAGAGGTTCTTTCAGCAGTTCCACTGTACTCAGTGGCCATTCCTTGTGTCACGGACAGGGGCAAGTAACTCATCCTGAATTGGCGTCAATTTAGGTTGACAAGTGGTGATGTCTCAGATGGCCTTTCCCCGCTAGTGCAGGAAAGAGAGGACCAACAGTGAAGATACGCTACAGACAGTAACATGTCTCTTCTAAAGCTGTCTGAGACTCTCGCCAGCAGTCAACGTTGACAGTTTGACTCCATATTGCTGAAGTGCTTTGGCAGGGGCAAGAGGGACCTGGAAATATCCTTGTGAGCTTCTGCTGTCTTTAATTTGGGTGTTTGTAGCTGGGAATGAGTCTCGTCTTATAGAAGTAACAGCTCATGGTAATTGCAAAACCACTTATCAGAAGAAAGCTAACCACCAGCTTTGCTAGGGATATTATGTGCTTTAACAAGGAACCCCACTCCTGTGACGGGGTGCTAGAAAGAGCCAAGCGGTCTTTAGCGTCTTCAGCAGATAACCTCTAATACCTAGCTCAGGTTTGGGGCTAGGAGGAGCATTTGCAAAATGTGTCTTAAATTGAACTGCCAATAGTAGTATTAATTTTAGAAGACCTTCAGAGATCTGCCATCTAACTAGCCTAACTTCACCAGACCAGATGGGGTCACAGCATGAATTGCTGTTCTTGGAGTCTTGTGAATAATCAGGTTAGGAAGAAAACAATATGCTTGAGTCACCACAACAATTTTTCTATGAGGATGGGGGGCACAAGAAGAGAAAGGAAGAGGGTACGTCCTCTTCAAAGCTGTTGCATAAAATCCAGTGTATCAAATGTCAGTAGTAAAACTGGAAGACAAGCTCTGGAAATTTCATAGGATTTTAATCAGAAATGTGTAGCATTGTGAAAGAGATCAAACATGGGTATGAACGTTCAATAAGCATCCATTATTTCAATTTCACATAGAATGCTTTTTTATTGTTCACTCTCTAGGAAATTCAACAATATTTAAAATTATTTTTATGATTATAATCTCATTACCAGTCCATCTTTAAATGTATGCAATAAGGCATACATTCAGTGGCTGGCCTATATAATCATAGTGGTTTTGCTGGCAGGAAACTCCTGAACTTGGGGAAGAGATGGTTGAATTTGTTTGCACACAAGAATGGTTCTACCAAGCCCATTGGGACACTGTGAGAGGGTAATGGGTTGCAAACTCACATAGCTTCCGAGTGAGAAAAGAATTGCTAAAATAATACAATCGGTGTTCACCTCCATATATTAAAAAGTGTAGAATTTGGGGATGTAAATCTTCTTGCTATAAGAGCTGAGAATTCAGTCGACAAATGCTAAGTTAAATGATTTAAAAAAATTTAGAAACTGCTTTTCATATGAGTAGACGGCAGCAGAATGAAACTTGCCTGTCAATACATCACCAAGCTTATTTTTGAAAGGAAATTAAATCAAACTTGTCTATCTGAGGACCCAGACTTTGAGACCTGGGATCTGTTTGTAGCACATTCGCCATTAAAACTAGTGTTGCCAGTGCATGTGCTTTTTTGTGGTAGAATGGTTTGATGTTTCTGTTCAAGCTAGTGGTAGTGAACAGCTCATTGTGTCTTGTGGTTTTTGGAAGTATGCCTCCCCAACAGCCATTCCCTAGAGTCACATTGGCTTAGGTTTATTTGGCAGACCAGCTTTTTTGAGGATTTCAGAGCCCATGCTACTAAAATAAGTGCAATTATTGCTCCAGCAATTAAAATGAGGTCTCGCCAAAAGAACTCAAGACACTTGATTGGGAGAAGCCTCTTACAAATCCTCAGCTCATTCCCAGTCAGCTGCCTCAAGGGCTTCATCCTCACGGGAGCTGGGGTTGCGCATCTGATGTTTGCAAGAGAGGGTGCAGAGACGTCTTCTAACCAGAGTTTTAGATACAGAATATGACAGTCGCAGTTCCAAGGATTGTCAAATATTTTCACTTCCTCCAGGCTGCGCAAACTGTCCAGGGCACCAGGAGGAACCGAGGTCAGGCTGTTGTTCTGTAGATAAAGCCTCTTGGTGTTAACGGGCAAGGCAGGCACTTCCGTCAGCTGCCTTGAGCTACAGTCTATATGCAAACCCTTCATTTCTCCCAGTGACTTACAATTGCAGGAGGGAGGACAGACTTCAGTTTGGGTCATGTGGAACAGCAATGATATGGCAAATCCCACAACAGTGATGAATTCCATCTTGTTCATGCTTCAGCTACCCAGAGAATAAGAATAATAATCTGATAAGTATGATTCATTAACATGTTTCCAAATGCAGAACTACAACACAGCTATTTCTTTCTCAGGATTACTCGTGAGGTTTAGGGTTTTGGAAGAAAATCTTTAGCTTTCTGTATTTCCCACAGAGCCATTCTTCCTGACGTTAAGTAGCATAAATGCAACTGGGAGAGAGCACAGTGCTTCCGTTTTGTCTCTAGTTCATGGCTTTTTCTTCATAATTGTACGAAATATATTATTGTTCAAAGTTCTGGAACGGAATGTCACCAGGAGATGATGGTAAAAACTAGGTTAGTTTTAGGCAAAGATTTTGATTCCGTTTCTGTATCTTCATAGGTCTAGCGTTAAAATTGTGTGTTGAAGTCAGTTTTCAAAATTGAGCTTAAGAGATTGAATAATTGTAAATGTCTAAAAATCTTCTTTCTGAGAGTATAAAGATTCTAACCAGGAAGTACGTATTTTTATGTGGCAAAAAGTTCTTTTTTTGCTGCCTTGTAGCTTCATGCATCTCTGAGAACATACAGTTTAAGATTTGGATGAATAGAGAATTGGAAATTTTGCATATCTGGTACTGCTTGTCTTTTAGGGATTAAATAACCATGCTTTGGGCTAGCAGGTAATTATCCCTTTTGCTATGACATTCCCAACTGTGTAGAGTGGATCCCACTAGGCTTCCATCTTAGTCCCTTCTATTTGGCAGTTTAAAACCTCGAAAGCTATTCTCTTCCTGTGTTTCCTACTAATTCTGTTCATTTAAAAATACATAGCTAGCCATGGGACTGGACTGGAATTTGAAATACAAACTCCCTTGCACAGGTTGGGGAATTTCAAATCTTGAAACCATCTTTCTTTATTATTTTAATACATCACATAATTAAAATGTATTTTCTTCTTTTTTTTCCCCGATTCATTTGCAGTAAGTTAAGTATTGAAGCAAAAATATCTGACTGTGTATTGCCTTGGATACTACTTGGAGAATGGCAAATACTGTAAAAAATGTTAGGTTTTTATACACTATACACTTAAAGAAAATTCCTTTTTAACTGAAGAAGGTGAAAACAGTTGTATAACTTTGTAGGCAAGCATTAGAAGCACATTGAGTATGATTTTAAAATGGGACTGGACAAAGCCTGAGAAATAGCAAGCAGGTAGAACAGACCTATTAACAGCAACAAATACAGAGTAAAAGAGGTTTTTACATACTAAGACGATAAGGAGCTTAAATTATACCAATGTAGAATGAAATTTGGAAAAAAATTTCTTAAAAATAATGTTTTCAAGTGTAGAGATATTTTAGAACTAAAAAAAAAAAGGTTTTCCTCTTAAAAACGTAAAATAAGCTGAGACTATTTTTTTTCTCTAGGAAGTTTCATTTAATAAAGACTAAAATTGTAGGAAAAATGGATTGATTTTGTTTTAAATTAATTTACTTCAATTTACTTACAAGGATTATGTAATTAGCTTTTCAAAATAAAGTTAGATAGCTTTAGATTCCTGATCTAAATACTACATTCCTATATTTTAAATTGGATTAATGCTACATAAAATTATAAACTTAATCACAGAGAAGCTGAAATATTCATCTTAACAATCTCCTATGTCTTTGTTAGCAAGTAGTTAGTCTGAGTATCTTTGGTCTGAATCTAGATACTCATCTGTTATTTTTCAAGAAATCTACTAGAGCTGTTTTTTTCAAAGTAGACATCTTAAAAGGACAGACTATGTCATCTGACTAAAAAAAGTTAAGCAATATCTATAGAAAAGATGATCGCTTCTGATTTAATATATAAACAGCAAGAAATTCCAAATCGAATAGAAATAAGAACTGTGGCAAAAATGCAGAAAGGAAGAGTTGGTGAGATGCCTGACTGACACTTACCCTTATTTACTCCCTCTTGATTCCTTTCCCTCTGCTTGGTAAAGTGTTGGGAGTACATATGGCAACTGGAGCTGACTTTTTAAAGAGTCAGTAAGGAAATGTGTTCAAGAAGATGAGCTTTTTCCTATGCATAATAGGAAAACCGTTCCCATTGGAGGGTGCTGTATATGGTTGACATGTGTCACGGCATATAGTGCCTGGGGCATTTTTGTATTTTCTGCAGACATGAGGAAATGCTTTTGAATTTTTTTTATTGCTAATATATTTTTCCCATTAAACCTGCCAATGTCTGGAAAACCTAAAATGACTCATCTGAAATCTAGTGGGTTTTTTCCTCAGCTGTAATAATCTACAGGTATAAAAGTTAGCTTGAGCTTCAGCTGCTGACCCATGCAAGCCCAAGCAAGATACAAGGGAGATAAAGTTAGCCCATGAAATAGAGTTCTTCTCTTTTAGTCAAAGCCAGGTGTGTTTGATATCTGCCTTTCCACCGATTAAGTAAAATTTGCAAAAACACACCATACCTTCGAAATAACTTATGTTAGTCAGATGAGATCAACTTATATCAGTCAGATGAGATCATTAAGGGATAGAGAAATATTAATGCCGTTACATTGAAATAGTGGTGAAAAGTCACCCAAAGACAGTATTTAATTCTGGTCACCCATGTTCAAAAAAGATTAAGCCAACAAGTGAAAGGAAGGTTTCTGTGATGATCAGGGATTTGGAGAACCTATCTTATGCGAAGAGGCTGAGAGTGACCTGTACCCTGCAATGCGGAGCAATGCAGAAATACCTGAGCCAGAATGACTCAGGCAGGTAGGTGCCTCTGACACAACCTTGGATTTCAGGTACAAAGAAGGGTACGTGCGTATGGATCAATGAATCAATTCCTATTTTGGTTCTTGTGATATTTTGTGGAATATAATTTCTTTGTAATGTCCTAGTTTGGTTTGGAGTTTAGCAATGAATTCCAGAATAGTCAGGGAAGGTGCACTGGGAAAGGCTCACTGTCATGGTTAGCATGGCTCCCCTTAATCAGCACAGCCTAGAGGACAGGGACAGCCTTGGGCACATATAGAGCCTTTCTTCCCAGTCACGAGAGCTGTGTATAGCTCAAAAGAGGACTATGATCCTGCAAATTTTTTCACACTCAAGTTGCTGAAGAATATCAACTGCTGAATAATAGCAATGTGACATCATAGAACATAACATGCTCTGTGTGTGTTTGGCTGGAGAGGCAGTAATTCAGGATGACACAAGTTTATAATATACATATATCTGTTCATCTAAATAAAGAATGCCATGTTTGTGTAAAAAAAACAAAACCAAAAATAGGATTTTGTTTTCACTTTTTTTTTTTGTGCATGAAATTTTGGAATAGACTTGAAATAAGTTTTCCTTTGCTTTAGTTACCAAACATGAACACTCCAGAATTAAGATGGTAGTTGCCATTTGGAAACCCGGTGTGTTGTGGATCTGATGTTTAATTCAGGCCAGTTCTTGTTTAGTGTGTTGTTTTGGGGACAGGCTTTAAGCCGTGTTCTGCATTTGGAAATGAAACCCAGGCGGTTTCAGATGTTCAGATGTGCAGTAGAGCCTTGCTTCTGAGCTGTTGTTTCTTTATAACATGCTGTTCTTGGGGGGAAGGGAAATTTCTGACATTTAAAATTATTCTGATAGCAATTCTTATTGTTTAATTCTTACTTATATTTAAAGTACTTTTCTTCATTAAGTCTAATCAATTACCAGTAGCCTGAAGTTTGTTAGGAACTTCCTTAAGAAATTACTTAATGTGTATCTCTGCTCTTTAGTATTTTAATAGGTAATTTAGACAGTGCTGCAGGGAGAAGACAAAAATACTTCAAACCCCGTTTGAATTTCGATCTTTTCTATAAGATGAGGAAAGTGGTTCCTCCCTTGTTAAAATGAATAGTTCATCTGCCTGTCAGATGTTCAACAGCTGGACCTGTGAGTGGACTGCTAATAATGGGAAGATCTTTCTATCTTAGGGATTGTTTCTTTTTTTTTTTTGAAAGTACATCACTAGACCATAGATTTCATAAATATCTGTCTTCCCTCATGCCTGTTTCCTGTATCACACAATCCGTGCCATATGTCTTAAGGAGTGCTGCCACACAGAGTAAAAATTTTCCCATTATATGGTGAAATCAAATGCTACATCTTTTTGCATTGAAATGGGTGCAAAATATTTGGAATCCTCTGGAATCCATACTCAAATTCTGTGCTATGGGTAACCCTCACAAAGGTAGTCCTACGTTCCTCCGCCTGCTGTATCACACGTGGTTGGAGAAGTAGCTGCTCATGCGGAGTCCCTGAATCTGTTACTTGTGATGAGGACCGTGGGCCAGTTTCTTCAGCTCTGTGTGAAGGCATTTGCATTTATGATTTTAGGGCTATAGCTTTTTGTAGGCCAAAAGGATTGGCCTACAACGAGGATTCTTCGTTTAAGAGGATTTCTTAAGAGCCAATTTGAAAAAAAAAGTTATAATCTGCTATAATCTTGTTATAATCTGAAAATATATTTTCCACAGAGTGAATCCGTTTGAACTTTTTGTGAATGAGAGAGGCTCTGTCTCCTCTCAGCAGAGAGGTATTTCTGAACACTCTTGTTTCCCAAACAAAACCTCTCTCGCTACCTTACTCTCTGAAAGCACACCTCCCTGGATTAGTTTTCTTTTGAGGCCTTGACTTTTCCAGTCAGCTATGTGGGTGCTGCGTCTGACTGCTTACATAGTGAGAAAAAAGCGTTGAAGGGAGATTACTAGTTTCCTTGCAGTTAAGAATAAAAGCTGCAAGTTAAAGATAAATGTGCGGATCAAACGCATGACCGGCTAAGAGGAAATTCAGGCAGAATATGCCGTTACTTTTTATAAACCGTTTTAAGGAGTTATAGTCATTTATTGCTGCCAATGACCTGTTCTTGACCTAGAAAGACAGAAGTCTTTCTCAAGCAGTATTTCCATTTCCAAAGCTGAAAAAACTTGCCACATCACGTAGTCAATGGACGGCAAAAGTGCTTCTCATTTAAGTTCTATCACCTTGATTCAATCTGTTCTTTTGTATTTTCAAATAGGTTGGTGAGAACAGACTAACCAAAATATTTCTTTATAATTGGATGTGAGTCACTGGTAATTAATGAATTATACAAATAAGCAAATAAGCAAAACGAAGGAAAACAAAGATCGATCATGAAATTCATTCACACATCAAGGAATATTGCCTGCAGAAATGAATTAAAGAAAATCTGTGGTTTCTCTCACATCAGGAGTTATTGTCGCCCCAGGGCTAAAATATTCCTATTATCTACTGCACCCTAGAGAACTAGCATGCTAAAGCCTTTTTAGTATTTATACATAGGAGGACTCTGAATTTCATCCTGTCCATATTCTGCTTATTGTATTGTTTCCCGATGCACATTTATTGTGGTTTTACCTGATTTAATTTTGCCTGTCAAATAAAATATCCCATTTCCTCAGAAGATTATTACACAGGCAGATAAACTCTTGTCATTTAGGAAATTCTTCTCCTAAATTGTACTCCACCCATTTTATCAAACAATTCTTTCTCCTCCCACCCATTCTCATAAAGAATCTCCCTCCTTGCTGTTTTCACTATTCAAAACTGTACATGGTTGCTGTGCAATCATCAGCTATTGCTTATCTTTCCACTAGGTGTCATTCAAGTTATTTTTTTGTTAAATGTTGAGTGTACACTGTCTGAATCAACCTTTAGGTATAATTTATCTGTTCAAAATAATTGTCTGAAAGACTGAAATATTATATTCTTTTAGGATATTACCTTTTCCGTAGCCTCCAAGATAAAAATGTAACAGAGGTACAAAATGGGTGTATTAAGTGATCTTTCTAAATCAGATAGCTAATCACATGTTTGTGTTTTATGGAACTCCTAGGGTCTTGAGCCTGTTAATGAAAATAAATATTCATAGACAATTTGGATTCAAACTGTCCTCAGGAAAATATTAATACCATTTATGCTAAGTTGTAACAACGATAGAGTGCACATGGGGAAGCTTCTAGATAGAGAATCTCTAAAAGCATCATTAAAAGCCCACCATCAAGGCAGTATTTGCCACCACAAGATAGTGCCTAGGCAGTTCCCTGCACTCCCGGTTCAGTTAATCAGCTCTGGACATGCACCAGGGAAGCCAGTCGTCCTGACAGCAGTCAGCGCAGTGACTGTCATGTGTTTCATGAGCTGGAAGCGACGTTGGCACCTTCATGGGAAGGGCTGGGCTTGGTAAAATGGAGTCAGCTATGCCCCTCTCTGCCTTGCTTGCTTGGCTGAACTAAATATTTTGCTCTAATGAAAAGCAATCAGTTTTCTAGCTCTTTATGCACAGTCACTGTTATTCAAAATACAATACTATGTTTCAGTCAATTACAACACAACACTGCATTTATGTGAATGTTTTATTTAGGATCAGTATTGAGCTTTCAGAGCAAATCTCATGATGATCTCCATTTTCCACGCATGCCTTTTAGATGAAATTAAACTGCAATATTCACTCTAGAAATATATCTGATTTGTTCCAGGTGCTAATGGAGGTTCAGTACTTGGGACCAGACTAACGATAGTCCAAAATAACACCTCCTCTCCTAGTGTACATGGTTGGATGTGGTGTCCTCAGTTCCAGATTATTTCACTGCTGTGATCCAGCTCTTTGGGCCATTCTGTTTGTTGATACAGACATTGCCAGTGTGACAGCCGAAGAACTGTCTGTAAATGAACCTTGTTCGAATGCCCCGTTAACTATGCAGTCAAGCCTGCTAAAGATATTTAAGCGTCTTTACCAGGTTACTGCATAATAGCTGTAGTAGGATTGTAAAATGCATGAGATTAAGCAGCACTCTAGTGTTGTGGTGTTGTCCTTGTTTAAGGAGTTTGGTGATAAATAAAATCAGGCTTCAGCCTCATTAGCTAAAGTCCTGCTGTTTTCTGCTTGAGGAGTTGGAAATGTTGAAGGCAGGGCATTGAACTTTATGGTCACACTGAAC